GTGAAAAATTTAAGGGGGTCTGAATACTTTCCGTACCCACTGTATATATATATATACACACACACTTCAATTCAAAAGTTTACACCCCTGGCTCTTAATGCATCGTGTTTCCTTCTGAAGCATCAGTGAGCATTTGAACCTTTTGTAATAGTTGCGTATGAGTCCCTCAGTTGTCCTCAGTGTGAAAAGATGGATACAGTCCATCTTTTCCTGACATACAGTCAGTATTGGAAAGGGTTCAAATGTGCAAAAGATGCTGGAAAATAACATGGATTTGTATGATCCCTCTTATTTTGGTAAAATAAATAACATTATGCAGATACTGTAAAATATATGTGTGTGTGTGTGTGTGTGTGTGAGTATATATATATATATATATATATATATATATAGTTTGTTTTGGTCTATGTTAAGACATGACATGTGAAACACTGAGAACAAACAAGACATTCAGAGCATGACAGAACACACAAACAGAAACATAACAGCATGCCAAACATAGATGACGGTCCATTTAGAAAAGCTGGCTATCCATATATGAGGAGTGCCATCCAATCTGAAAGGAGAGAGCTTTTATAACCACTATCTTAAGCAAGTCACACATCTTCAAGACCAAAAATATCTGAGGTTGTACAAAGTTACCATAAATTATGACATCACCAAATCATGCACACATACATTTTGTTTTAAGGGTTACTTTGGTAAACAGTCTATTACATTAACGTAAACTTCAACTTAAAAAACTTCATGTACAAATGTATAAACTGACAATTGCAGAAATGACCACAACAGGAATAAAAAATAAAATGTCTAGAAAGATAAAACAGTAGGATAATGTAGTATCACCTGGGAAACATTACTTGAAAGTAGAAGAACTGAGTCTTGTTTATGGTTGGAGAATGAAACCCAACCAAAATGGGAAAAAATTGGCAACAGCTTCCCACACTGACTCTTCCTGCCGTCCTCCCCACCTCCCCCGACTCTCTGTGCCACATTGAGTAATGTTATACATTCTCCATGCATAACATTACCTCAGTTTTTCTTCTTTGCAAGCTGTGCTTCTGCTTTCCGCTTCTTGTATGCGGCTATCTCCTCCATCTGCAAGCCATGAGCCATTTGCCTGAAAAATACATTGGAGAAGATAAACACAAGACACACACACACTGCAGGACACAGGCCGCGGAAAGGCCTCCCCTTACCCTGACTTGAGAACGGGTGGCACAGGGAGCGGTTTGGTGAAGCCATCTCTCCCGGTGAGCCAGTAGGTTTCTTCTATACCTTTGCCCTGTGGAGAAGAGAGGATGAGAGGACAGAGCAAATAGTGTTCTTTCTTGTCTATCTAAACCCATGAATTATTTTGCATTGTTGATCTTACCACTCATTGGATATTTTACCTACTCATTGGTAAGTAAAATAGCTTAATTTGGAAAAGAAGTAGTAAGAGTATATTTTACTGCATTTGGAGGCAAACCTTACTATCACTATTAGTTACTGGCACATTTACCTCCAAATGTTTCACACATACCCTACAGCTGCCATTTTGGGAAAAATACATAATTGAATTAATGCATGATCTTTAACTACATTATTTACATGCTTTTACCACCACTGCACCAACATATACAGCACAGCAAATAATGCTCCATAATATACACTACCATTCAAAAGTTTTGGGTTGGTAAGATTTTTAAACATTTTTTTGTCTCTCATGCTCACTACGGCCACATTTATTTGATTAAGAGTACAGTAAAAACAGTAATATTGTGAAATATTATTACAATTTAAAATAACTTTTCTATTTGAATATATTTTAAAAAGTCATTTATTTTTGTGATGACAAAGATCAATGAATTTTCAGCAGCCATTGCTCCAGTCTTCAGTGTCACATGATCCTTTAAAGGAGACATATTAAAGGGGTCATATGATGCAATTTCAATTTTTCCTTTCTCTTTGGAGTGTTACAAGCTCTTGGTGCATAAAGAAGATCTGTAAAGTTACAAAGACTAAAGTCTCAAAACCAAAGTTTAATATTCTTTATAAAAGTTAAGAGTTAACCACACCTACCTAAAACGGCTCGTTCTAACACGCCCCACATGTCTACGTCACGATGTGCGAAGATTTGCATAACACCGCCCAAATGTGCACGCAAAGAAAGAAGGCGTAACTTTGATTCTCGCTGTAGTATTGTTGTTGCCGCCGCCATGTCATGGAGACG